TCTCTCTCTCTCTCTCTCTCTCTCTCTCTCTCTCTCTCTCTCTCTCTATAGGCTTTACGGTGTTTAGTTTATTTCACTTATTGGCCCTTTTTGTCTTATGTTTGTTTCATAATTCGATTTTACAAATTATTCCTATTTACATCTTCTTAATTTACTTCCCAAAAAGCTAGAAATTAGTTTTCTACTTCATGTAAGGGCTCGTGAGTGCCCTTATATATGTTGGGTGCTAAAAAATGGACCTGTCTGATGCAAATTCCCTGTCGTTAATTTTTTCTTAAATTAATTAAGCCTTTTTCTGAAGAGCCTTTCTGTTCATCAGAAATCTTATAGGGGATGTGGTCCAAGAAGTAAAAACCATGTGGCTTAAATGTGGTCCACTTAATGTTTATGTCAAATTGCTACCACGAATATCTTCTCTTCGTCACAAAACAGTAACCTTAAGGCTTTTTCGATACGCAACGGTTCACACTTCTTGAGCATTCGTATATGCGGTGGCATCCAAGAGAAAGCCTACCTGGTCCAAATTCGGTATTCGGATTGATTTTTTGCTATTACGAATCAATTTTTACCATGAAATTTAGAAAATTGCTATCTTATCATGTAAAGATTCAGTTTGGACGATTTAGTAGGAACGGTTAGATGAGACGGCTTTCAAAATATTGCCATAGCCGAAGCACATTTTTCATGTCGATTTAAAATGTCAAAATACTATTACACAGCGAGTTTTGTCGAGAAATTTTGAAAACGGAAATTTTTTTATGGAAAGTTGTCGAAAAGGTGGACCGATTTTCAATAGTATCAAGATATCTTGTAACAAGGATCAGTTACAACGCGAATAAAAGGTTTCGATACAACACGAGACACATTTTTTTTGATTTATGTTATATTTAAGTTTAAGTTGTGTCGTTATATACGATGTTTTAATTTAAATAAGAAAATGAAAAAAGTTTCGCATAACGCTATTCCGATACAGCACGGTGTGAATTAACCGATTCTCGGGTACGTCAATTTGACTCGTTTCAAGTTTGTTCGGACTTTTACTTATATCAAAAGACTTATTTATTTATGCAGTCGATTCGATTTGAATGCACACCTATGTTTGATTTTTCTTCCTTCTTACCACCTCCTCTAGCTTTGGGGGTACTGAGCTTATGTAATTTTGGTTCACTTTTTCGCGGCATTGCTGCCGTAGAAAAAAATTAAGATAAAATGTTAATATTTGACGAATATATTCCTCAGTAGATTAAGAAGTAAAAGAATTAGAAAAGGAGCTCATGCTCTGCCCATAATAGATACGAGACGAAGGCAACCACATTAAAAAAGCGCAGTTTTTTCTCATTTTCATTCATGCGTTACGATCCGATATATGCTTCAAGATCATCTTTAACTGAGAAATGCTTCTGACTTTTCTTCGAACGCGGCCACACCGGTAGTACTCTAGTGTTAAGCACTTAGACGCTTTGCCGCCCGTGCTACCTCTGTTTAGGTTATCTCTGAGACAAAAGAACTTCAAGTGATATTATAATTTTCTTTATTATTGTGTTTGAATTTCAATAGATATGTATAAGGAACGGCAAAGAACTTTTAAACGGCGTTATGACGCTTTACTCGGCTTAAATGCTGCATATCTTTGAGTTCGTTTCAACTAATCGCCATTGAATAGTTACCATTGAATAAATGAATCCCTTATCTGTGGCAAGCATTTTTTGGGATGCTTGCAAATGGAGATCAAGGAAATTTTCTTCTTATTTTTTTTCACCTTCGGTACAATATCAAGTAAAGATAAAGCGTCTATAAACGTCTATTTTTTTATTTGTCCGAGCACATTATTTTGTAAGTCTATGGTTTTATTGGAGTTCATCGATGCTTAGGTGCATGTATGTGTATGTGTTCTTGTTTGTATATACTCCTAAGCAAAAATGGAGTATAAAATACATACCATTTAACCAGCGCAGCAAGAAGTAATCATCATCGGTTTCCCTGAGTACATCTTTGACTTGCGAACGGAACTGAAATTTTTGTTAAACAATATTAACAAATTATTTATTTATATAAATGTATATGAAATATTTTACATGTATTGTAACACACGCAACATTACGTATTATCCCTAATAGCTCTTAAATTAGGTTTTCTGCACCATTGGACTGTGAAATGCGCAGAACATTCTTTAAGACATATTTACAGGTTACTATTATTTATCTTTATATTATAAATGATGCAAGGTACAACAAGCCGGAAAATCTTAATTGTACTAGAGGACATTTTTTTGTGAAAGAACTTCCTTACGCCAGATTTTCGCAGTGTACTTCTCCATACCGAAATCTTATCATATATTTATCTGTATGTATATATATTTAACATAAAGATCGGAAATGAAAATATATTTAAAAAAAAAGCCTAATAATCGCACCATCAGTATCTCTCGCTCTCTCTCTCTCTCTCTCTCTCTCTCTCTCTCTCTCTTTCTCTCTCTTGAGTAGTTTGTGGTTGTCCTCGCGGTTCCGACACAATATTGGTAGTGACTCATTTTTGCACATCTTTAATTTTGCATAGCCACTGATCTGCTATATATGAACCAATGCTAATGAGAAGAAAACAAGCCTAGACAATAATCCGCAATCGTGAGCTAAGCTTCCAACTCAAGTTGAAGCTCACTCCTCTGGGTTGTTTTTAATGATCAATTTCATCATTTTCAAGAAAAACATTTTTGCACGGAATTTCGCGAACCATTTTGTAACTGGTCAATAGCTGAACTATCGCTTGAAGCTTCAATTGCATTTTTTTCTAAAGCAAAAGAAAAGATAGTGCTATAGATTGACGTCCATGTCTTCCTACTTTGATATGTACTGAACAGTAGCTTGTAAGCAATTGAAACGTAGAGCTTATAAGCAGCAATATCCAAGTCACTTGTACCGATATATGAGCATATATGGTAAATATATATATATGTACATATATTGATGTAAAAGTGTCAATGGGTGCATAGAAATTATTGACTTGTTTTAATCCTATTTTAGTTTGCTTTTCACCTCTTACGGATCTTTTGTAAGGAGAGTGCGTTCCTTTTAAAACCTGAACCTTCGCACGCGTCTTAATCTCTTCATCTTTGAAAGTTGATAACAGTCTGAATCTTTAAAAAATGACTCACTCGCCAAGTCATAGGAAATCCTACACCCTTCATAGATAGAATACTTCAATTAAATGCATTAATCCGAGGTAATTAAAAACGATTTTCATGCACCGAAATTACGCTTTGAGATCGATCTTAGTCTCAACTTTGGCCGATCAATTGTTTCATGCGATTTACAAAAGTTTTAGGTATTTACGAATTTATTCATTCTTCCTACAGAATTATAATTAACGTTATTGCGTTCAAGTTTTAAAGCTTGACTGATTAATTTGCTAGAGATTAATCATCTTAATACTTCACTAAAGCAATTAAACTCAAAACAAGAGTTTAGATTATAATGTAATACGTAATGGCGGTTATTAACTACAAATCTTAGGAGCTTGTAATCAAATCTATTTTATATAAGAGGAAATTTTCTCGTTATAGGAATACTAATAGGAAAACAATTAAGGCACAAAGTTTAAAACATTATTAAAATAATATTAAATTAATCTTTTCCTCATATTTTGATGAAAACATTTTGCTATAAAGTATGAAAAGGATTTTTCATTTTTACATTATTGCGTCCGAGTTTACGCTGAAATTAGCCGACGAATAGGGTAAGATGGAGTTGCTTTTTACTTAAATTTCGATCCCGTAATCATCCAATGCTTGGCTTAAGCCGAATACGGAATTCGTAAATGTATTTAATCAAAATCGTACGTGTCTGTCTGCGCTGATGGTTAATTAATAGTTAAAAACGTATATACATTTTTACATTTGCTTTCTGAAACCGTTGAAGTGAGGCAACAAAACAAAAAAAAAAAAAAATTAATTATCAACAAATAATAAAACGCAATTGTTTTGATTACCACGCAAAAAATACAAAAAAAAAAAAAAAAAACATTATGCGAGTGCTTGCTTTTATGGAGGCGAGACCTTCAAAAATATGTACAGCGAGGTTGAATTGAATTTCAAAATAGTAGTGTTTTAGTCATGAGTAGGAGATTGTTTGCAAGAGGAATCACAAGCTTCTTTCCTTATACAGGCGCTTGTATTTTTAGACATGCATCTTATGCAACTGATTTTACTTAAGCGGGTAAGTGGGAAGTTAATATAATTTAAATACAACCTTGCAGTAATGACATTGACCGGATTATTTTTATACTCTGCACACTGCTTGTGTTGTAAGGATATATTAAATTTATGCGGATGTACATAAAAAGCTTTAATTAGACCGATCGATCGATAATTACTTTCAGAATTGATTGATGCAATTGTGTCCGTCCGTTCGTCCGTCTTGCATTCACAAAATTTTAATAAAATTACTTTCATTCCCTTCGGTTCGGTGAGTTAGCAAAAATTTTACTCATTTTATATTTAAACTAACTGTTACATATCACTCTTGTCATAATTTCATTTGAGTGAGATTACAACAATTTTAAAGTCTTTGAAAAGGTATGACTGCTTCGATTGCGTCTCTTGCGTTTTCTACCTTGAACTGCACTCCAGTCGTCACGTTGTCTCATTGCATTACAAATGTCAAGAATAAAACGACCAAAGCCATAATTTTGTTCACCGCACGGCATTCGCAACTACTTACTGAACCTATTGAAATCTCATCATTTTTAGTTTGCAATGCGAGCCGCCGCTAATGAAAATGAAAATGTGTGCTATTAAGTTTTTGGTGGAGAGTGAAGTAGTATTAGTTGTTCTCTTTAGAATTCGGTTCGGTAGACGGAATTAATTAGTGTGAGGCCTAACGATTTCGTGATTTCATTATTTGCGACAAAACGTTTAAAGCAGCACTTAAAGCTCTTTTCGTTTTCCTGTTTTGCAATATCGTCACCCAAGCGAAAGTCTACATTACGCGCTATATAGATGCGTCATAAAAAGCTCGTTATTTATGTACACTATAATGTAAGAGTTCTTTATTGAAAACATTTTGCTGAAAACAATTTCTCAACTCCGTTCAACTAGGAGGACAGATATTTAAAATGGATACTTGCGCGGATTATCTCTTGTGTAAGAGATGATGAGGTGCTATATGAACCCCAAGAAGAAAGGCCTATCTAATACAACTGTCATTCTTGGCGTCTACTCCTCGATTGTTGTGCGCTTTACACTTTCCGTGATTTTTAGTCAACGGCAGCGATCACGAAACTTTGTGTAGTCTATTAAAATCATTATAGCAATCTTTCAAATCAATCTTTCTGGTCAAATGTACCGCTTCCTTAAGTTGGACTCGTTTTTTGATTCTTCGCTTTTTTGCTATTCTTTGGCGTAGAAAAAGAGTAAAAAGGAAATTAAGTAGTAAAGCAAAGGCGGAAGAATGATTATTTTCGGTGGCAGCTTTTGGCAAAAAAGGTTCTTTAATAAGTAAGTCGGAACTTATACACTTTTGATTTAAAAACTTTATAAGCAACTCATTAAGCATTAAGTTAAGCTGTTTAACTAGACTTTGCCCATTAAGCTTGCCTTAGCGATGTAGAACGCTATTTCAAATAGGTCCTGTCATGTTATTTATTAATAGATAGTCATAAGTGTGCGCATATATTTACCTGTAGATATATTTCGTGCGAACATAATCACTAGATCAATAAGAAAACGTGTTTATACAGTGCAGGTAATTCAAGACTTTGCAAGAAGAATCTGAACTATGGAAGATGAGAACAGTTTCACTAGCATACAATTTTATAGAACATTTGATCAGACCCGGAAGAGACTAGATTTATATTGAGATATATATTTGAGCATGAAGCAAGATATATTGAGCTTTCGCAAAAATTATAATTTGCGTATACTATTGCATTCAATTGATCTATTTATCCATTCAATTAATAACACTTTGATTTCAGGGTTAACGAGAATTGAATTCACAGAAGCTGCGTACGGGTTTCAATTTTGTTATATGGTTCAGTCATATCTTAGATAAAATTAGAACTAAACTTTTAAAGAGATATAATTCTCTCGTTTTTATTTTTTTTTTTAAGAAATATGGCAAATTTATTAGTTAGAAGGTACTACTGCCTTGACAGGAATCACATTTAAATAGGGAAAGACCGGCATGCTGCATGCAGGCTTGAACAGGTATATATGTTAATGCTTCCTCTCGTTTGTACACAAGAGCTACAAGAGCTAGTAGTGCTACTATTACATTGCGGTACAGTGCGATGCTGCTCGGCATTGCTATGGTATACTATGGTATGTCGGGCTTTGTGCTATGATGCGTTTTTCGTTATATTGAAGGCGGAAGGATTAATCGAGAAAATCTATCCTCATGTAATGGTCGCTTGTAGAAGAAAGCCTTTTCGGATTTTAAAAAGTTTTTAAAGTTCTCTTTGCATTCCACATAATTAAAATTATGCTATCCTAATATAGTTTACAAAAGACTTTTATTATTTAACGTAACATGTAAGTAAGTATTTATATTTTTATTATATACTTATGTGCACGCGCAAACGATTCATTCGCTTACCTGTTGCAGTTTTTGTTTTTGTTCTTCTGTTAATTCTGACCAGTCTGATGACATCTTTTCATAACAAAAAAAATACTGCACTGTGAATAAAAATCCGTTACTTCTCTCGCGTAGACAGATAGTATTAAGTTGGCTTTTTTCTTTTCTTTAGCTTTCACAAATTTTCACTTTAAGCACGCATGCACTTATTTATTTATTTATTGTTTTCCTTCCTTTCTCCACCTAAGTATATTAATAATGCTATTACAACTGATTTTGTTCAACTAACTTTGAACTTCAATGATACCAGAATATATATCTACTTATGCATATATATATGCTTATATACATATACATATATATATATATATATGAGAGCTCTAAACTCTCATATATATGTATTTTGTTCTAACCTTTGATTTGTGAATTATTTGTAAGAATTTATATATAGATATATATTTACATATATATGTATGTACGCGCACTCATATGCATATAGATTAATTTATTTAATTCGCGATAAAACTTAGAAAATTCTCAATATGTTTCGGAATTAACGTAGCAGCGAATTTTTATAATGCAACCACAATTATCGACTTTAATAATAATAAATAATGAAGATATTAAACTTCACAACATCTTTATTAGCCTTAACTTTGTACACTATTCCATGTTATTTATATATAATATTTTATATTATTTATCAATTATATTTCTATATAAACAAATGAACGTTGAGTTTGAATACTAATTTGTTCAACCGTGATTCAAGAGCAACCAATAACTCACTCGAAAGTCGAACAAATTTACTCTCAATTCGCAAGAGTGCGGTACTGTGTTTCGTATATCCATTACATACTTATTAATGCGCTCATTCCAAGCAATCCAAGTATTTTGATACAAATTATTGAGAACATATACGCTTATTCTCTAAAGTATTTACGGGTTTCCCTCTCACTTGCATATGGCAAGTACATAGATAGTATGAACGATGTTTCTGGTTTCTGGCTTTGCTGAGAATAAAATTCTGTTTCTGAGAGTATAATTTACTTTCCTTTACATTTCTTATAAAAGATTTATTTTGACTTTGCTGAGTATAAAATTTGTTTTCTTCATATATTTTTTATTACTGTTTTTTTTTTTTTTTTTTTTTGTAAACAAATTATTTATTTTATATATTTTTATTTATTTTTTTGAAAATAATTTCACGCTACCTATTCAATTAAATAGCTGTTCAATTAAGTAAGACTACATGATATCGAATTTATAAATAAAATAAAAACATAATAAATTATAAAAGTATTTATACATATATAAATCAATTAGCTCTGAAAATACTGAAATTTCGTATATAAAAATGTAGACTGATTCGAAAATTAGAAATAATATAACCAATCAAACCTCCAATAATACAAACGAATAAAGTTGATAAATTTAAGTTTTTATGTATAAAGGAATAATATTATTATAGGACTAGGAAAAATGACTAGACACCTTTTAAAGAGATTTATACTTTGTAAGCCTCTTCAGTATATCTTATTTTTGATTCCAAGAAGCCTTCCAGAGCTCATTCTCCTGAGCCTTAACATATTTCTAATTCGTGGATTCTATGAGACTGAAAAAAATGGCATTGTTAACGTCATTCTGTTGAATGCTTAAAAGGCTTAAAAGACTGAGATAACGATTCCTTAAGTTTTGCAGGGTCAGCAGATGACTTGGGTAAAATGCATTTGTATGAGTACAAAAATGAGAATCGTTTCTTAAAGTACGCTCTATGGTCGGTGTACCTACTATTCTGGATTACTTTATATGTAATAATTTTTAAATTTTAATATTGTATTTTGTAAATTTATATTTTGTAATAACCAAACATATTTAATAAAGTTAAAAAAAGAAAAAGAAGCAACAATATATTTGTGCTTTATATATATATGTATATATGTTTTATTTTATTTACTACTTTACTGTTGCTACTGTTTGTTTTGTCAAATTGTTAATTTTTTTATTTGTATAGGTTTGTATACAGTTTTGTTTGCATTAATTTGTCATGTTAACAGAGCTTTTTAATTTGGTTTTTGTCTTTTTACAATTTTTTTATTTAACAGACATAAATGCCGACGGCTTTGTATTTTAACAGAGGTATCCATTTCTTTCCCGACGGGTTTGCATTTTAACAGAGGTTTCCCCCTGTTAAAATGCCATTTAACAGAGGTTTCCACTACTTGTTTGCTATTTAACACAGCTGAATGGCGTTACCATTTAACCATTTAACAGAGCTGCCATTTTTTGACTATTTTTCTTATTTATCACAAGCAACTCTGTGCTTTGCCTTTTAACAGGGAATTTAGCGGGGGCTTTGTTTAATTTGATAATAAAAATTATGGCGGTCTACTTTTAGGCTAACTTGCAAAATTAAATAAGTTTAGTTCGCGTATTTTCCAAAATACATCTAGAGGAGATGATAGAGGAAAAAGAATAGGAAACAATCAGGAAACCATTAAGAAGAATAATAATTTATTTTATATACATATTTATATAGATTAATGAAGTATTTTAAATGTATAATAAAGCTATTATATAAATAAAGCTATTTATATTTAAATATAATTTATATAAATTAATATACAGTAACAGGAAAGGCCAGTTTGCAATGGCAAATCAAAGCGGTTGAAAAAGTGTTTGTTGCTATAAGCTCCAAGTAGACGATGGGTTATATTTTTATTCAAAATTCAATTTTAGCTTTAATGACAACACGCGCTTTTTACGAAACATCATTGGAACGTTTAAAGTCGAATGCCCGGTTTGTTTGGATTCATCATTAGGAGCCAACAATGTATCATCGGTCTGTTGACATAAAAATTGCTTTAAATCATCTTGAGGAAGAACCCATTGACTTAATACAATATTAGCATAATCGCTTCCCATCTCTCCACTCCCTTCATCGTTTTTAACTTTTATATTCGCCTTTTTCTCAGCTATTTGCCGCTTGTTAAAGATGTATTAAAAGCTTTTTTGCTTTTTAGAAATAATTTTATTTTTTATACAAAGCAAGTTATCCTCATCACCATCACTTTTATGAAATTCATTTAGTAAGGCTTTCACGCGTTTTGTCCCTTTCTCAGATATGACCTCTTGCCATTCGCTGTTTGAAAACCTGCAGAAATAAAAAAAAAAATTATAAAATTAAGCATCAAAAAAGGGTGAGGAATCCATACCTTGGGTTATCTGCTTATTTGCTTGAAACTTAGATACATTGGGAAAGTTATTATTTTTGTTATTACTGATCTTCTCGTTTTGATCTAAGATTTCTTGTGTGCTAAGTCATCGTCATCTTCGTCCCAATCATCATTTTGACTTATCCCAGTTTTACACTGATTAGATAGCACTAAAGCTGAAAAATTTTGGATTAACTTAAATATTGTCTGTTCATAAATTTTAAAAACAACTTACTTGCACTTACGTTGTACGTGTCGTCTTTCTCGATACCGTCGTAACAACGATCTGAAGAGCTTGGTCCGGGTATTTAAAAAAAAAATAGAAAAACTGTTTAAAAAGCATTGTGCAAAAATGGAGCCATTAATTAGAATTTTTGCATGAAATATACAGTACCGTAATAAAGTAAATAAAGCATATAAATAAATAAATAAGCCGTTTATAAAAAAATAAAGCATATTGTGGCTTTTCTTTCCTTTTTAAACTTAAAATCCATTATACAGTATAGGAAACGAAGAAAAACGGAAAGATTATTTATTATTATTCTTTGATTAGACTTAATAATACTATTTCGTCATCAAAAAGAAGATAAAACTAAAAGGAAATTCTAACAGGACGTATAAGCAATCTCAATTGTTACATTAATATTACACCTAAAGGTAGGCAAGCAAAGACAACGTTAAAATTCTCTGCTACTTTACAAAAAGAACGTAATACTCTATGCTAACTTGCAAAGACGCCAGCTTTATAACTCAGGAAATCTGTTTAAAGAGCTTTACAACCCAGGAAATCTGTTAAAAGAGCTTCATGACTCAGGAAATCTGTTAAAAGAGCTTTATCACTCAGGAAATCTGCTAATTTGCAAAGCCGTCAGCAAAAGTCTCCCAATTTTGTTTGCAAAAACTAGTGCACTCTCTCCAGTGGTAGTAAAATTTTTATAAGGAAATTTTCTAGTTTGTACAAGAACCTATTAGGTATTGCCATATCTACGAGGTATATATCGTTGTAAATGCTTGAAATTGTTCATTTGGTTAGAATATTTACTCGTTACAGGTAGTCATTAATTTATGGGCTGTGGTGCCTTTGGCGAACAAGAAAATAATTGTACTGCGTTACTGGTAAGGAAAAAGCAAATACTACTTTACCTTCTATCAATTGTTTTTTTATAAATAGGCATATGCCTACAACTAGGCAAGAGACTACAGATTATAGAAACAATTTATCTCAACGCAAATGAACAAAAAATACCTGCATACATATTTTTCGAAATTTCCTTAAAACCCACATGAAAATATTTCAAAAAGAAAAAAGGGGAAAATAAATAAGATCTCTTATCTTTTATCTATCGTCATCACGCTGCTATAAAATGAAATTGTTATTGCAAGTTATTGCAAGATCAATATTAAGAAGTTTTAGAAGTTTATTGTAAATTATTAACAGATTTTATTTAGAATATATTAAGAAGTTGATCACTTGTAACTTTATATGAGCGTAGGCAATTATTTCAGATAGCATGTCTTCATATAAAGAACGAGTGATAAGCAGTAGGGGAAATATGAAAAAAGTAAAAAGAAAAAAACAGCAATTGATTACTTATAACTTGGTGCTGTCTTGGTCGATTATTTCTCTTTATGAATAATGACCGAAATCCGTTTTACTGTGGATTTGTCCTTTGATCGCGTATCGGGGGTATACCAAGCAATTCAAATTGCGTTAGTTAAGACTAAGGACAAGTTTTTAACATTTTAGGTATTTATTTATTTATTCAATGTAATGCATTTTGTAATGTAAAACGATACAAGTAGGAATCGACTGCAGCTGCTCTTTTAATTCCTCTTCTAGTTTTATTCATTTGAATGATCCGCTTCAAACCCTTTCGACTCAACTAACTTGACTTTTGCAGATATTTTGTTTGTATACTACTTTACGACAGCATGTAACCGGCATTTAATCTTATTGTCACGTTTTCGACAATTGCCGGCAACAGCGACATGAGTGGCGTATTTGGCGTTACGATCAAGTTTTCATTTTTCGTAACAATATTGTAACTATTTGGGATATCATATTACACTTAAATTCAAAGCATTTTGGAGGATAGGCGTACACTATATTCTGGGCAACCAGCCACGTGGAGTAATTAGGTAAAACTCGTAACTCGTAACTCCTATGAAATTTGGAAAATTGCATAAAATATGTTAAGTATATTATGATTAGCATAATTAACGTAAGCAGAGAAATAAGTTCCAAGACTAAACTCTCGAAGCACTAGCATCTAAGGCTGTTTGGAACTTCTATTTTTACTTGATTGGAAATTCTACTTATGCTTATACTCTACTCTATGTTAATATATATGTATTATATGAAATGAACAATTTTCAATCAAATTCATTAAAGTATTTAGCAAACGTATCTCTTGAGTATGAAATGAACGAAACGAAAGGAAAATAATTTGTATTTGCAACGTAGTCT